ACCGCCGCCGAAGAGTTATCGGATTTCACCGAGCCCGAAAGAACTACTGGTACGATGAGGAGTTTTAAGAAGCTGCAAAGAAAACAGATGCCGCCTACAACGCCACATTGCGATCGGGCGCAATGCGAGCCATGTGGGACCGTTATAGGGAACTGAAAAGAGGATTAAGACGTATTTGCCGCAATAAGAAGAGAAAGGCGAAAATACGTGAGTGGCGCAGACTTTAAAATGCTGGCCGACAGGAAAAACGTTCGAAAATTTTACCAGAGAGTTAGGCGACTTATGCAGGTTTCAAGACCAGGGCGAACTCCTGCAAGAAAAACAATGGCGGCCTAGGGATCGACGCCCAGAACGTACTTTAATTACGAAGCGAACACTCTTCCACCCTACCGAATTATAGCAGCACGGAAAGTTGTGAAGAATACGAGCCCGAGCCTCAGTAGATGATGACGGATTCGATTTTCCACCGCCTGCCTATGACGAGGTACGAATACCTGAAAAACAATAAAGTCGCCGGTGCCTGCCAGCTTAACTATTCAAGTACGGCGACGAGGAGCTGATAAGGTGCATGCATCAACTGTAGCGCAGAATATGGTCAGATAAACGCATGCCCAACGACTGGAATTGGAGTATGGTCTGGCCAATCCACAAGAAGGGCGACTCCGCTATTCACGCCAAGTACCGCGGGATCAGCCTTCAAAGCAAAGGTTACAAGGTCTTATCGAGCGTATGTGAAAGCCTGAAGTCCACCGTCCACGAACTGATTTGGCTTTATCGGTGTGGCTTTCTCTTCTTCTTCTTATTTGGCGCTGTAATCGCCTAAGACATTTTGGCCGAGTTCAACAAAGCACGTCAGTCGTGTATGGCGCCAATTGGAAATGCCAAGTGAAGCCAAGTCCTTCTCCACCTGGTGTTTCCATCTCAGTGGGGGCCTTCCGCTTCATCTGCTACCACCAGCGGATTCCGAGTTAAATATTTTCAGAGCTGGAGCGTCGGTGTCTATTCGAACGACATGACCAAGCCAGCGGAGCCGCTGAATCTTAATTCGCTGCACTATGTCCATATCGTGGTAAAGCTCATACAGCTCATCGTTCCATCGTCTGCGGTACTCGCCGTCGCACACGCGTAAAGGCCCGTAAATCTTCTCTCGAATACTCCAAGAGCCGCCTCATGGGATGTTGTCATTGTCCATGCTTCTGCACCATATACCAACACGGGCATGATGAGTGACTTATATAGAGTAGCTTCCGTACGTCGAGAGAGGACTTTACTTCTGATTGCCTACACAGTTCAAAGTAGCACTTCTTGGCAAGAGTTATTCTGCGTTGGATTTCGATGCTGTCATTATTATCGGCGTTAATGCTGGTTCCCAAGTAAACGAAATTCTCTACTTCCTCGAAATTATAACTGCCAACAGTGACGTGGGTGCCAAGGCGCGAATGTGCCTGTTGTTTCTTGACAGGAGATACTTCGTCTTGTCTTCGTTTACCACCAGAAACTTTAAAGCCGCTTTCGACAGCACTAAAAGGAGTTGCCTATACGCCGCCATGCCTGAATTTGGCATCCCCGCCAAACTGATACGGCTGTGTAAAATGACGTTGAGCAATACCACCAGCTCCGTCAGAATTGGAAAAGACCTCTCCGAGCCGTTCGCCACCAAACGGGGTTTCAGACAGGGCGACTGTCACTTCTTTAATCTGATATTGGAGAAGATAAAAAGAGGAACAATTTACTACAAGAGCGTGCAATTGCTGGCTTATGCCGATGGCATCGATATATTCGCGCCTTGGCATTCACGTCGCGGTTTCGAGAAAGTAGAGAATATCGTTTACTTGGGAACCATCACTTACACCGATAATAATGTCAGCATCGAAATCTAACGCAGAATAACTCTTGCCAACAAATGCTACTTTGAACTGCGTAGGCAATCAGAAGTAAAGTCCTCTCTCGACGTACGGAAGCTACTCTCTATAAGTCACTCATCATGCCCGTGTTGGTATATGGTGCAGAAGCATGGACAATGATAGAAAGACTGCGGAAAATTTACCGGCCTTTACGCTTTGGCGACTGTGAGTAACGCAGACGATGAAACGNCATGCCCGTGTTGGTATATGGTGCAGAAGCATGGACAATGACAACATCCCTTGAGGCGGCTCTTGGAGTATTTGATAGAAAGACTGCGGAAAATTTACCGGCCTTTACGCTTTGGCGACTGTGAGTAACGCAGACGATGAAACCAGTCTTACAACGATATGGACATAGTACAGCGTATTAAGATACAGGGGCTCTGCTGGCTTGGCCATGTCTATCGAATGGACACCGACGCTCCAACTCTGAAAGTATTCAACTCGGCCGAAATCGCTTAAGCGGTTGCAGAGACAAAGAAGAAGAGATCGCAATTGAGATAATGATGGTGGTTTAGTATTAGATTATTGGTATTATTGCCTGACCGGAGGTCGAGCTCGAAATATTTAACGCTTATTTACTCCCTGTCACCAGGAGTCCGGCAGGATATCACTCTGATATAGGTGCGCTCCTCGGAGGTTAAAACGCGTATGGTAATTGGCGACTTCAACGCGCACCTTGATGTGTGACAATCAAGCTTGCGAATGAAAGTAGGGGATTAACCAATTCGAGAAGATAGAGCACATCTCAAAAGTAGAGCCGAAATTTCAACTGAATTTCGCAAAAAGCGTTGATATCCTTTGTTATGTCTACTTTAATGCTAAAAAGGGTTCCAACTTGCAACGCTAAGGGCATACTAACCTTCCGTAAGGAAAAGCACTTTCAGATTTTTATTTTTAAAAATTACGTTCAGGGCTGTAGTGAGCACTAACAAAATTCCTGTGGATGTAGTGTGTGGTAGTTGTGTACCCACGATAATGTGACCTGGCTGGTGTCAATCAAGTCAGCCGTGCGAAGACTATCTTAACTCGATGAACTATCCTATCTACTTCAGCGCTGTCAGATAACTTTCTTAAGTCAGATGCGCATACTTTAATAGCTTAACATACGACACAAAAAAGGCGCGACTTAGTTAGGATAGTTTGTCTGATAGCGCTGAGATAGTACGAAATTCTCAAGATGGGATAAACGGACCAGTTTAGATTAATAAGCTCGATTATTCGACTTTTTTCAAACCCGGTTTTAGAGTTATTCGAAAAATGCAATTTGAAAACCGTTTGTTTTTAATTTTTCGCACTTGGATACATCTGAAATGAAAGCCAAAAATGGAATAAAACTATGTAAGTCTGAATTCGTGAAACCGATGACCAAAATTTTCTTTTTAATTTAAAAAATATGGGTGCTGTCTTCTAGCTCGTGAGCATGGAAAGAGACTCAGAAAATATAACTTTGAAAAATATTTATTTTGCTAGTTATTGACATAAACAATTTGTATGACATATTTCTTCGTTTCACTACATATATGCACAGTGCATCAAGGATTTACAGCCAATGTAATAAATAGACATAGGAATTCTATGAAATTGCATATTTTCGTTTAGCATGCAAGAGATCCCAGACCAAGACAGAAGTTCGTTGCATTGAAAATGAAGAAGATTTACGCCTATGCATATTTGCATATTTTCATATTTTTTGCATATTTGCTTGTTTGCATATTTTTTGCATATCTGCATATTTCCATATTTTTCGTAAGTATATGTTTAATATTTTTTTAAATATATTTTGCACATGTATATGCTTATGTTTATTTATGTAGTTACATTGTACATATGTATATATATGTGCTTTTTAATCTGTTTTATTTAGCTTGTACTGTTGGTTTTTGGGTCATATCTAGTAATTGAGATTTCATCCCTTTCCTGTTGACCTATTAATTTAAAATTTGGTACACGCCTTTAGTTCTGATGACAATACAATCACGTAAATATATTCAGTATCATTGTAAATCCTAGATGGCCGCCGCCACAAAATGGCCACGAAATGAGGGATTACATATTTTTTCACAACCCTCTCAATATGGGCATCAAATGAAAGGGCTTAAATAAGAGAATGCAGTACATCATGAAAAAGTTCCAAATCTAAGATGGCCGCCACCACAAAATGGCGAAAGATTTTGATAAGTGGAACACAGGGCATTTTAGAAAAAAACCTCTTCCAAATTTTAGACAGTCAATATATTAAAACCGACATCTAGGTATCTAATTAAAACAAAGGACTTTGTAAAACCGTTTAACTTAAAAGTTTTTTACATATTTTATTTTACGACCAAATCGTGCAATTTTAGTAAGTGTGTAACTATCAATTGATATTTTTGGTGTTGTCTGTAATTGAGTTTATCTTACAAAGAATTACTACTGAGCGATAATAACGGGTTTGGCATAGAAATAATTTTTATAATTTTTTTTTTGTTATTGTTACATTTTGTTACGAGTAAATTTTAACTCTATGCGTATATCTACTGTCCAGGAATAATCTAAAAGGCTTTGCATTTTTGTTTTGCAAAAAAAAAAAACAAAAAATTATGAAAACGTTTCGTTGTAGAACAGTTGAAAATAGTAAGGTTGCAAACAGAGTGGAAGCGAAGCCGAAGACGAATTGCTTGCTTTGCGGGCAAGCAGGCGAGTGTACATAATGGAAGACGATTGCGATGCAATGACAACTAAAATGGATTCGTTTTCAGATGAGGAATTTTTTCTAAATGAAAACCTTTTTCTAAAGATAAAATTAAATGAAAATAAAGAAAAAACAGGAATTCACGAAATAAATTTGTCCAGAAAAACGTTTGGAGAATTTCACCATTTGTATGATGAGTTACGGCAAGACGGACGGAAATTTTTTGATTATACGAGAATGTCAATTAATACTTTTGATTACATTTTATCAAAAATTGAGCCATTTCTTGAAAATTGAGCCATTTCTTGAATTAAAAAAGTGCATATTTCAAACCGTATTTATTAATCAATTTTAATCGAAAAAGTTTATTTTAATTAATTAAATGCCATTGATACATTGTTCTTGAAAAAAAGATTCCTCTCTCTTCTGAAATATATTTTACATGGTCTTGTGGATTTTCGGAAAATTGCGTCGATTTCGATTCCAGAATGGCTGGCGACTGGACGTATGGGTTTGCGTATTGCGACGAGGAGCACCCGTTTTTATAGGCAAAGTTGTAAACAGATTTTTGTATTTCCATTCTGCAGAGAAGTTTTTGTCCATTTTTTTAATGTGTGGCAACAAACTCACAAAGAAAGCCATATCCTCATCATCAGTTTGTATCTTCTGTTTTGATTTCTGTTCCAATAGATCAAGTTTTCTTTTTTCGATTTTAATTATTTCAGCATTCACTTCATCATTTCGCTTAAGTTTTTTACGTGCACTTTGTGAGGTGTTGGGTGTCTCTACTTCAAAAGTACTCATGCTGTTTTCGACGCTATAATTTTCCTTGCTTCCTTGGCCCTTCGGTGTTTTATTAATGTCCATATCGATACTACTGTTGTTATCCTCATCTTCAATATAAATACTTTTCTCCAATGGTTTTTGCTGAGTCAGATTCCCCGACGACTTTCGACATTTTATCTGATCTCTAATGAAAAGCATTGACGTAAAATGTGGCCACTGTGAAGCGTTTCCTTTAGAGCCGCCTGGTCCTGGGTCGCCTGAACGTTCAGGTGGAATCTTTTTCAGCTCAGTTCGGAATGTGTCTCTCAATTGCTTCCATTTCTTTTTTATTATTGCAGCTGAAAACCAAAAAGATATACATGCTTATGTACATAATTGATATCAATATTCAATGAAGAAAATACTAAATACGACTGATAAATATACATACATATCATTAAATAAAAATTCAATAAAAGTTTGTTGGTTTATGAATTAAGGTATGTATTTTCTTATTTTTTAGATACCTTGCAATTGGAATTTCATTTAGGTCGCTAGCTTTTTCATTTCGAATGGGTGCTTCTACTGTTCGGTCTATTGTGATAGAAACCTGCGAAATCTTGTGGGAAGTTTTGCAACCATTGCATATGCCAAAGCCTACCGAAGCCAGTTTGAAAAAAGTATTAGAGGACTACTGGAAGCTTTGGGGGTTTCCGAATTGTGTAGGATCCATCGACGGAAAACATATCCGTCTACAATGTTCAGCGGGTTCCGGATCAATGTTTTTTAATTACAGGAAATATTTCTCTATAGTACTACAAGCTGTTGCAGATGCGAAATGCAAATTTTTGTCGGTTGAAGTTGGTGGATTTGGACGTCAGAGCGATGGAACATTTGCTTCTTCAGCACTATACAAAATGAAATGCTCTGGGAATTAAATTTCCCAGAAGATGCTGAATTACCAAACACCACAATAACCATGCCATATGTCCTGGTAGCCGATGAAGCATATCCGCTATTAGACTGGGTACTTCGACCATATTCCAGAAGAAATATGACAATGGAAAATGAATATTTCAATTCCCGTTTATCACGAGCAAGGAGATGTGTCGAATGCGCTTTTGGCATAATGAATTCAAAGTGGAGGATATTATGGAAGCCAATAGAAACGGTTCCGAATACTGCAGAAGTTATTGTTAAAGCTATTTATATTCTACATAACACTATAATGGAATTAGAAGACGTTGAAGTTCACATTGCAGAAGGAGAAAAATTTATTAATAATGGAAAACAAGGTAGAATAGGAAGTTCAATTTCATTCCAATTTCGTTCAACAACACAGCGGTTGTAGTAATATTTATTTTGCTGATCCCACAATGAAGGTTTTTCAAAAATAGCTGCAATCAATTCCTCGTTCACTAACGACATTTTTTATAACNGAAAACAAGGTAGAATAGGAAGTTCAAAGAAAATGGGTCGTATAGTTAGAGAAACTTTTCGCAGTTATGTTTGTCGTAATAGAAATACGAATAACATTTAAAACCATTAAATAAACACAATAAATTAAAACATTACTACTTACTGTCTTGATTTAAAGCCATCGCAATTTCATTCCAATTTCGTTCAACAACACAGCGGTTGTAGTAATATTTATTTTGCTGATCCCACAATGAAGGTTTTTCAAAAATAGCTGCAATCAATTCCTCGTTCACTAACGACATTTTTTATAACTCGTGTTTATTTCACAATTGCAAGCAATTAACTAAATTGTAAACAACTCATCACAGCAAGCGAATCGTCTTTGAAAACAGTACCGCACAGTTTCAAGCTGACCGCTTGCGCAACGTCATCATCTTCGTCTTCGTCTTTGCTTGCGCGTGAAGCTCGGAACACTTTGACGACTGCAACTTCACGACGTAACGACAGCGACATCATTTTGTCGACAAATGTCGCCTTGAAGCCAGCTTCTTAAAAATTTTGAAGACCTCAGCGACATAGCAAATAGCTGATTTTAAAGTTTTACATTTTGGTATATTTATTTCACAAATTGTGTATTTTTATTTAAGTAAATAAGAACAACATGAACAATCAAGAATATGTGATTAATTTTGCGACAATTAAATTTTGCAGCACTACATCTACTCATTGTCGCCGGCAAAATTAGAAATAGATTTAATTTGGTGACGTCGACAATTGCAGTCCTGCAGACAAGATGTCGTGCTGTCGTCAAAATAATTGTGTCCGTAAGAACGTGTGTATTTAAAATTTGACAGATGCTGCTTGTCGCTTGCTGTCGTCAAAGTGTTCCGAGCTTCAATTCTTTCATATGTTTAATATTGCACTATTTTTCGTCTTCGGCTTCGTCTTCATCTTCGTCTTCGGCTTCGCTTCCACTCTGTTTGCAACCTAAGAATAGCGAGCTTATCCGACAAGTCAGGCGATCTGCATTTCGTGTGTCTTTTTAATATCCCTTCACATTAGTAGTTATCAGAAATGTCTCAACTAAATATAAATAAACGGGTGAAAGAAGTCGGAAATGGGTGCTTACAATTTCGGAATGTTTATATTGAAAAAAGTAAGCATTTCTCTTTTTAAATGCAAAATTTGCGAAATTCGTAAAATTAATTTACAGCTGATTAATATTATTAAATTTATGAATTCTGAAGATTAATTCTACCAGAAAATATCAACTGCAACAACACTTGAATACCAAATTTCATTAATAGTCAGTAAATTTGGTAGAAAATATCGGCAATGAGAGAAACTCAAATCCGCATGACTTCAATTTTGAAATGTGCCAAGCCATGGTTTCGGCGAATATTCCGTGGAATGTATTAGAAAATAGTTGGAAAAAATTCCTCCAAAAATATACCGAGCGACAAATACCAAATGAATCAACAATAAGGAAAACATACCTGGATAAGTGCTACACAGCAGCTATGAAGGCCATAAGGGCAGACATTGGAAATAATTATATATGTATTTCTGTTGAGGAAACAACCGATGCAACTGGCCGCTACATAGGAAACTTAGTTGTAGGGACACTTAAAGAATGTAAGCCCTCAACGCCTCATTTGCTGTGCAGGAAAGAGCTGGATCGTCCCGACAGTAATGCTGTAGCACGATTCGTGAAGGCCGCCTTAATAAAGCTCTGGCCATGTGGAGGAAACAGTGATAAGGTTTTGCTGCTGGTTTCGGATGCAGCTCCTTACATGATAAAAGCAGCCTGTCAGTTTTTTATCCAAATTTGCAGCATTTGACGTGTCTGGCTCATGGCCTTCACAGAGTTGCAGAAAAAATTCGATCACTTTTTCCAGAAGTAAACGAATTTATTTCCGCTATGAAAAAGGCATTGCTGAAATCACCTTCCCGAATTTTTATGGGTAATGGCTCCTTACCGCCAAATCCAGTTCTTACGCGATGGAGTACTTGGCTGAACGCAGCTCTCTTTTATGCTGACAATTTTTGAAAAAATTAAAGAGGTAATAACCAAAAAAAAAATGCAGTTTCAAAGTAATTAAATATATGTTTTTCAGATTGTTCAAAAGTTTCCACCAGAAGCAGATTGTGTGAAAAATGCACAGAACGCAGTTCAAGGTCCTCAAATTTTGCGATGTCTTCTTTTTATAAAAAGTTATATTGCTAGAATCCCAGAGAGCATCGAAAAATTAGAGACAAAGGGAATGCGGCTGAACGAGTCCATAAAAATTATTTTGGACTGTGAAGCATCCCTTCAAAATGTCCCTGGGGACTATGGCAAAACCGTAAGAGAGAAACTCTCTGAGGTTTTAGCAAAAAACTCGTTTTTTTCTGAGCTTCGAAATCTTGCTTATTTTTTAAATAATCCTGAAGATCTTTCTACATCAATATCATTGCTTCAGCAATTTTGGAACAAATTTATTTTCGCTCCAATCACTTCTTGTGAAGTAGAGAGATCTTTTTCATCATTTAAAATAATTTTAAATGATAAAAGGCAAAGATTTAATGTAGAAAATTTAGAAAAAGTACTAGTAGTGTACTGCAATGTGAAATAAAATTTTGGATTTATTGAACCACTCTCGAATTAAAAGTCTTTTGAATTGTTGGAACAATGTACATGTAAAGTATATGTAATCTGCGTGTTACATTAGGTGTAATTTATTTCAATAAAAATAAACAAACAGATTCTCATTTTCATTGTTAGTGTTTCCGACAGGGTAGGAGTATGGTGTATTGTGGAACGATTTTCCGTCATCCCTTTCTTTCGAAAAATGATACTGAAGATAGCGCAACGCCAAAACCGGTTTGTCTCCAAACCAAATTTGACAAGGTATGACGAAAAATCGATCCACAATACTTCAATAAAGAGATTGACACCCCTATTTGCAACAATTCATTTAACTTATTGAATAATTTTAATTGAATTTAAGTTTTGAACAGGTGGCGCAACACTCTTCAAGCACTTCAAAAATAATCCTAATGTTTAGCCTAAAGATTTCCTAACAATATTTCGTCTGACAACAAATATTTTAATATTTCATATAACTTATTTGTATGGGAAGGGCCTTGAGTTATCGGAATTACTTTCAGTCTAAGACCATCCTTGTAAAATCCGTAGAAAGTGTGCCAAATTTGATTCTGATCGGAAAAGCGGTTAAGGAGGTAGCCCATTTTTCAATCCAGGTCATAAACCATCTGTGTGAAAAATTTAATTTTCAAACAGGTGGCAGCCCTATTGAAAAATATCTTCGAAATTAAGCTCTCTTAAACATTTTTTCGTTTGACACCTGTATTGTAATATTTGATTGAAATTATTAATTTTATTTAACTTTTTAACAAGTGGCAACCCTTAAAAAGTAGCATATTTTCCAACCTATGTCATCTACTATCTGTGAGCAAAATTTCATGCAAATCATTTCCGCGTTATGGGCCAACAAACAAGCAAACAAAGAAACTTTCACATTCATAATATTAGTAGGATTTGCATACATAGATATAGATGTTGTAGACAACATACTAAAAGATTAATGGATTTACTAAATAAATAGCAGGGTTTAAGCTGGATTGGTACATAAAATTTTTCTGCAGGAACTTGCTTTGATTTAATACAAAGCCCTGTTAACGTAAGTATTGATTGCATATTATTTGCATATCTTTTGCATATTTTTTCATATTTTCTGCATATACAAATTTCATAGAATTTCGATGTCTAGTAATAAACAATAATTAGAAACTTAAATAAAGATTTTGACGCGAATAAGAGTAATTTGAGTTCACACAAAGATAAGCAATCAAGAACCTAGATTCTGAAGACCACTCAGATTGACAAGTGTGTATATCATTCTATATGAAAGGTCCAACTACGATTTCAAAACTCCATGTTAATACCGCACAAACTGTATTTTTGTGCAAAAAAAACATTTGCTAAAATGGGAAAATTAGTAAAAAAGATTTTTCACAAATAATAATTCACGGACTCACCTACAAATGCATACAAAAATCTTAATAAAAGTAGGCAAAAACACTTTTCAAAATGGTGAAATTAGTAAAAAAGAGTTTGCACAAAGAATACTTCCAAGGACTCACCGACGGATGCATAGCCAAATCTTGATAATTTTATGAAGAGATGAAATTACATACATGAAAACAGCGCCGTGAATACAAAAAATTTTTCATATTGTAAAAATTTGCCTGTTTTACACATATCTCATAGGTTTCTTATAGTTCCTGAACCCTCCATTTTTTTATTAAAAAATCCGCTATTTTCGTACTTGAGGGACTTATCTATTANATAATTTTAATTGAATTTAAGTTTTGAACAGGTGGCGCAACACTCTTCAAGCACTTCAAAAATAATCCTAATGTTTAGCCTAAAGATCTCCTAACAATATTTCGTCTGACAACAAATATTTTAATATTTCATATAACTTATTTGTATGGGAAGGGCCTTGAGTTATCGGAATTACTTTCAGTCTAAGACCATCCTTGTAAAATCCGTAGAAAGTGTGCCAAATTTGATTCTGATCGGAAAAGCGGTTAAGGAGGTAGCCCATTTTTCAATCCAGGTCATAAACCATCTGTGTGAAAAATTTAATTTTCAAACAGGTGGCAGCCCTATTGAAAAATATCTTCGAAATTAAGCTCTCTTAAACATTTTTTCGTTTGACACCTGTATTGTAATATTTGATTGAAATTATTAATTTTATTTAACTTTTTAACAAGTGGCAACCCTTAAAAAGTAGCATATTTTCCAACCTATGTCATCTACTATCTGTGAGCAAAATTTCATGCAAATCATTTCCGCGTTATGGGCCAACAAACAAGCAAACAAAGAAACTTTCACATTCATAATATTAGTAGGATTTGCATACATAGATATAGATGTTGTAGACAACATACTAAAAGATTAATGGATTTACTAAATAAATAGCAGGGTTTAAGCTGGATTGGTACATACAATTTTTCTGCAGGAACTTGCTTTGATTTAATACAAAGCCCTGTTAACGTAAGTATTGATTGCATATTATTTGCATATCTTTTGCATATTTTTTCATATTTTCTGCATATACAAATTTCATAGAATTTCGATGTCTAGTAATAAACAATAATTAGAAACTTAAATAAAGATTTTGACGCGAATAAGAGTAATTTGAGTTCACACAAAGATAAGCAATCAAGAACCTAGATTCTGAAGACCACTCAGATTGACAAGTGTGTATATCATTCTATATGAAAGGTCCAACTACGATTTCAAAACTCCATGTTAATACCGCACAAACTGTATTTTTGTGCAAAAAAAACATTTGCTAAAATGGGAAAATTAGTAAAAAAGATTTTTCACAAATAATAATTCACGGACTCACCTACAAATGCATACAAAAATCTTAATAAAAGTAGGCAAAAACACTTTTCAAAATGGTGAAATTAGTAAAAAAGAGTTTGCACAAAGAATACTTCCAAGGACTCACCGACGGATGCATAGCCAAATCTTGATAATTTTATGAAGAGATGAAATTACATACATGAAAACAGCGCCGTGAATACAAAAAATTTTTCATATTGTAAAAATTTGCCTGTTTTACCCATATCTCATAGGTTTCTTATAGTTCCTGAACCCTCCATTTTTTTATTAAAAAATCCGGTATTTTCGTACAGCTTGATTATTTTTCACCCGATCTTACAAATCAAACATGAGAAGAGGATTTATAGGATTTTAAAATTACGTATAACAATCTATTGGTAGACTTCGATTGTTGAGTTTTTGTTGAAAAGCTCTAGTCAGAAAAATAATAAGGTTGTCTGTGAAGCAATCACTAAATAGGAGTAGTGGAAATATGTGTTTCTTTATTTTATGTCATTAAAAGTACGATTCCCGTATTCGCCAAACAAATTTGAGCATACGGATTTCGTGCGGATTTTCCACCCACCACTTTTTGTCTTTGTACGGATCTTAGACTCTAAACGTCTGGCAGCCCTGATTAATGATTATGAGGTTTAAATAAATAAATTTAAATATGGGAGGTTAATAATGATTAATCGATTATACCTTTTGCCTTTCAAGCGCTTATTTAAATAATTTATACGGAAATGCATCCTGCACATAAAACATAGCTTTTTCACATTTATTGGAAGGTCTATTTCATGGCTGTGGGATAATAATTTTTCGGAGAAGTTGGTGGTGCCAGAAATGACTTCACCATTAAATATTTGAAATATCCGACTTATTCAGCCTAACCTGGGTTCCGCTGGTGAATGGAACAAACGGACGTTTTCGTAAGTCCATGTTTTTCTGCAAATTACACAGCTTGGCTTAGGCATTATTAATTTTTTAATCACAAATAAATTATATAGTATTTTTCCACAAAAACTCAAACGGTAAGTTAAAAAAAAAAATTTCTACAAAAATTCAATCGGAAAATTTTAGAAAAAACAATGTTGTAAACAAATTATTAGGGTTGCCAGATTTTTTTAGGCGCGAAATCAGTACGCTAGACTTTTTCATGCCAAAAAAATCAGTACTTTTCAGGAAATTTTTGTTCAAAGCAACATTATGAATGTAAGTTACAGATAATACTTTGAAATGCCAGAGTACTTGTTTCTAACAATATTTTATATATAAATAAAATATAGTTCATAAAAAATAAAAGTCNTTTAATCACAAATAAATTATATAGTATTTTTCCACAAAAACTCAAACGGTGAGTTAAAAAAAAAATTTCTACAAAAATTCAGTACACAGAAGCCAATAAATTATTTTTTATTTATGACAGTTTTGAATGGCTATAATGAGATAATTTCTATCTTCAGTATTCAAATAGACAAAGAATTCTATACATTTCATTTTAAGATTACTTTTAATATGAAGTTCACTTAAAATAATTTTAGTTAGAAGCCGGTTTCCCTCCTTGCGCCGGGAAGCAAACTTTATACTTAAGATCCTTTCAGTTGCTTTGTTTAAGAGGGGTAGTGAAAAAAAAATTTAATTACATATGTTTTCAAACTGTGGAAAAGTACTACTATTTAGGGACTTCATTTATAATTCCTCATGGCTTAAATTAAATTTTTCAACTACGCAAAAACTTTGAAAGACTAACGATTCGCTAAAAACAGTATCTAGCTCCATGGGCCAATTAGAATAGATCTGGGCTCGAATCGTAACAGTCGTGAGCGAGCAACTAGTCACGTAAATATGACAAAATCGGATTGTGACAGACGTGAATGAACTTCTCATATCGGAATTCGGTATTATGACACGCGTGAATGAGCGAGTGAACGTACTCGTTCGTTCAAACTGTCATTCGATTAATATTTGACGAACGTACGCGCGCAAAATTTGATATTTTTTTTTGGAAAATGTAAGTAATTATAAAATTTGTGCAAACATATACAAGTTTATAGCTATTTTTCTTATTTTAGGACCAACTACAATAAATTAAACTCTACGCAGAAAGAACTCATGGCGGAGTTCATGGCCGAACACTCTGACTTGGCAAAGAATTCACTCCCAAACTGCTCGCAGGGAAAAGCAACGGCCAACCGTTTGTGGGAAAACCTCACCAAACAATTAAATGCTGTAGGGCCGCCAATTAAGGATGTGAAGCTGTGAAAGAAAGTAGGGTTTTGATATTTTTAATGAAAGTAAACATAAACGAACTTTCTTTTAATCTAGGTTTTCGCTGATCAGAAATACAACGCAAAGAGGAAGCTTTCTTTTAACAAGGCTTCCAACCGGTGGGCAGGTGGTGGACCTGCTGAGGAGCTCCTTGCGGAAGCAGCAGGACTGGAAGTATGCGTAGAGTCATGGCTGCACCTCTATATTGACAATTTATTGCAAGAATTTTGCAAGTGTGGTCACAAATCTGGCAAAAGGAATATTAGTAATAAAATGTTAAAATGAAAGAAAATAAACTTACTAGCATAACGTTAAGACTATGGCTATCTTTCCTGTTGAAGTACATGTGCTTGTCTCTAATTGGCTTTTTTAAACCAATGTGTGTTCCGTCTACGCATCCAATCACTAAAAAGAAAAGCATTGGATTCACTATGCATTTCATTAGAACGCCTCTTCTTACCCCCAGGTATTTCATATTTTTCCGCAAACCACTACTTACATCTTGAAGGTTCGTTGGGCTGGAACTAGGGACACGAATTTCGATACGATACGATACCATATCGATACTTTTGGCATTTGATACCGATATTTTCTCCTCGATAGTTTTAAAACGATATTTTTTGGAATCGAGTACCAGAACCCTAGTATCGTATCGAATGTAATAAACTCAATGTTCAATATTATTGCATAGTCTTTTACTTTCCTACTAACTTTTGCAGCGCTGTAATGTTGTACTGAACATTGAATTGTTTTACCTTTTGCAACCCTGTAATGACAACGGAGATTTGTATTTCTTATAATAAACTCTCTTGAATTCTGATTTTTTTTTACCTTAACCTTAATTTTATAACAAGGTTCGTATTACTATTAATGTCTTCGCAACACTCACATTACAAGGATAATGTTATTAACAATTCTTCCCGATATAAATTGGGCTTTTAAGAGCAGAAATGTGTAATATATGTAGTTAGGATTGCATGTGTTAGGGGCACAATAGATCATCAGGTCGCAGTGCATACCTCATAATTATCTATCTAGGATTGCATGTGGTGGAATTTGAACCCGCGACTTCGGTGTTTTAAGACAACACCTCAATCTCTACGTGTGGTTACACAATATGTTAGTGTTTGACCGAGATTCTCCTCCGATTTGTAAAGTGCGCCTTAAGTTCTGAACACATTAAAAACGACAAGCTACGGGCCACAGCTTCCAATTTGTTATCTTCATTGTCTAAACGCTTTGTCGATGGCGACATGATTTTTTGAATGCGTCGGCGATATCATGAATTTGTACGATTTCGACATAAAAGAAGAGGAAGAAGCTAATCTGTCGCTGGAAAAATAGAAATAGATCTAATCTGGCCACAACCACAGTCGTCTCGTAGCCCGGTCGGCACCAAAATAATTATCTACATAAGAGTACGTGTTAAAATAATTTGACAGCTATGGTCCATAGCTCGTCGTTTTCATTGTGTTCGGGCTATTAATGTTGTGGCACAAAAGGGGTCCCTACAGTTTTATGTCGACTTTGAACTGCGATTTTGTTTTAACGGGAAGCTGTTTCTCATTTTCAAGTTTTGAGCACTTCTTATCATTACACCACAGCGGCCTATATACGAGACCTATATTCATATAAATCTTTTGGATTTTGGTATCGATATTTGGAATATCGAGTCCTTTTATTCCGATATTAATGGGCACCCGATATTTTTAAAGCGATACTTTTAATGAGTACCATATAATTTGGTTTCCATTTCTTTTCAGACNCTTACACATATGTTAGTGTTTGGCCGAGCTTCTCCTCCGATTTGTGGCGTGCGCCTTGATGTTGTCACACAAAGCGGAGGGACCTACAGTTTTACGCCGACTCCAAACGGCGATTGTATTTTTATGAGAAGCTGTTTTCCATGGCAGAAATGCACTCGGAGGTTTGCCATTGCCTGCCGAGGGATGACCGCTGTTAAGAAAAAACCTTTTTTCTATTTTTTTTACGATGTTGCTTTGACCAGGGTTTGAACCCAGGCGTTGCGGAGTGGAAGCGCGCACTGCTTACCACTACACCACAGCGGCCGACATACCTATCAGGTAATCACTACCAACTGTGTGCTGTTGGCTACCACTTGCAAGGAGCGAGAGACTTGCAGCAGGAACGGCTTTTGTGTCATGGCAGTTTATTTTTATTTTCGATAAAACATACTGGAATGCCTCCTTGCTTAGCCGAAATCTTTTGATGAATCTGCAAGTATAGGAGTAGAGAAGGTAATTTATTTCCTATGTATCAATTACCCTGCCAGCCAAAAGTGGTGAAAAATCTGGTGAAACCGCGGGTTTCGGTCACTTCAAAACTGGTGACATTTGTATGGGCGGTGTGCAGATTGTCACCACTTTCCCCCTGTACGTGTGAGCCTTGCATCACTGTCGCACTGAATTGCCTACTCAGTCCAAAGTAGCACTTGTTGGCAAGAGTGATTCTGCATTGGATTTCAATGCTGACATTATTATCGGTGTTAATGCTGGTTCCCGAGTAAACGAAATTCTCTACTTTCTCGAAATTGTAACTGTCAACAGTGACGTGGGTGCCAAGGCCCGAATGTGCTGACTGTTTGTTTGATTACAGGAGATACTTCGTCTTGTCCTCGTTTACCACCAGACGCATTCGCTTTGCTTCCCCATCGAACTTGGAAAAGGCAGAACAGACTTCGCGGTTTTTGTTACCGATGATGTCGATGTCGTCGGCATAAGCCAGCAATTGCACGCTCTTGTAGTAAATTGTTATTGTTCGAGATAACTAACTCGACAAAAAAACGCCAGCCTTATGTTTAAATAATTTAAACCCCACCATATTATCGCAACTGCTACGTAAGGACCCGGTGATATGTCCATAAAACGATTGAACTTTTTGTTGTATTTATTTCTTAGGTATATGAAATATTATCTGAAATATATCAACTATAATTAAATTATTATTTTTTTTTACTTTTTACAGTAGAGTTTAAGGAAGTTCCAACGTTATGTAAAAACCTTAAGAAAATCCTAAAGTATTTTAGCCCAAAATACAATAACGCAGTGACAGTGGCAGTGGCAGTTTTGCGAAATCAGCTGTTTTTTAGAAAGTGTAGTGTCCAATGAAGCGACTCACAATACAGCAGTGGCAGCTGGCAGTTCTGCTAAGTTTAGCCCAAATTCTAAATTCACTGCCACTGCCTTCATCGCAGGAAACTTCGCATGCTGAATTTGACATAAATAAAATGCAGCCAACTTCTGTTCATGTTACTGAAGACTAAAGTTCTGAACACATTGAAAACGACGAGCTACCGACCACAGCTTCCAATTTGTCATCTTTATTATCTAAGCGCTTTGTCGATGGCGACATGATTTCTTTGAACGCGGCAGCGACATCATGAATTTGTATGAGTTTGACATAAAAGAAGAGGAAGAACCTTATCTGTCGCCAGAAAAATAGAAATAGATCTAATCTGGCCACAACCACAGCCGTCGCGTAGCCCGGTCGTCGCCAAAATAATTATCTACATAAGAG